TCTATCTATCTATCTATCTATCTATCTATCTATCTATCTATCTATCTATCTATCTATTTGTGTGCATATGGATTTGTCTGTGTGTGGAGAAGTGCATGTTTCAATGTACATGTAGAGGTCAGAGGACACCTTGGGTGTTATTCCCTGTCTTCTACCTTCTACCTTGTTTGAGACAGGGTCTCTGTAGCATGAATTTTAATTGGTCTTAATAATAAAAACTCAGGAGTCAGCTATCAGGGGGTGAAAGCTGAAGGATCAGAGAAGCGGAGTGACCAGCCACTAGAGTTCTTACCTCTACCAATGCTAAGACCAAAAAGTCTTCAGACTGCATCCTCAGACTGCATCCTCAGACTGCATCCTCAGATTGACTGCTGCTCAGACTTCTGCCTCTGACTGCTCCTCAAACTGCACTGACCTTCTGTCTCCTCCTGCCTTATCTTCCTCTCTCTGCCCATTCATACCACTCCTGCCTCCACCTCCCTAGTGCTGGGATTAAAGGTATGTGATCCCAAGTGGGATCACCTTTGTGGGAGCTCTGTTTCTCTTTTAGAATGGATCAATTTTGTGTCACCCAGGGTGGCCTTGAACTAACAGAGATCCAGAGTCCTGAGATTAAAGGTATGTCCCACCACTGCCTGGCCTCTTGCGGCTTAGCTCTAAACTTTTATCTTCAGGCAAGCTTTTTGTTAGATTACAAACAAAATATCACTCCATACTAAAGGAGTGATATGGCTGGGTGTAGAAAGGAATATAAGGCAGAAGGAGATAAGAGCTCAGTGCAGTCTGAGGAGCAGTACAAAGCAATCAGTCTGAGGAACAGTCCGAGGCAGCAGTCTGAGCAGCAATCATTCTGAGGTTGCAGTCTAGGCAGTCAGTCTAAGGATGCAATCTGAGGAGGCAGTCTGTGGACAGGATTGCCTTTTTGGTCTGAGCATTGGTAGAAGTAAGAACTCTCTAGTGGCCGGCTGCCCTGCTTCTCTGATCCTTCACAGTTCACCCCCCTATTATGAGGAAATGGTCTCATCTGGCAGTTTCAACAATATTACCTCTCACATGTCCTGTAGTTGGGGGGAACAGAAACGTTAACCTTGACAAAAGTATCAGAAAAGGGCCTGTTTGGGGACTCCAACCCCTCAATATTAACACCTGTGTAACTTAACTCTCCCTAGTCCCAGGATGACAGGAAACTGGTACCTAGTACCCTCTATCAACCTATCTCTAAAAATCTCAGGATTGAGATTTTTGGCCAAATAAGAGGAGGGAATGTAAAACTTTAAGGCAACTCTGAAGCCCCTCAGCCTTAGTGCTTCTCACCCCCAACCCTGGGAACCAGGAATCTAACAATTACCTACACACGTACTGAAATGTTGGAAACTGTCCCTCTCCCTGAGTCTTTGTGAATGTTCCCCAGATAGAACTCAGTTGTTAAAATTGGGGCAAGATAACCCTTAAGATGTTTGCTCATTTCCTGATGTTTTGACTCAGTCCCTGGGAAAGGTCAAAGTAACCCTCATATGTTTCCTCTTACCTCACCTGATCTAGCAACCACCCTCCAGTCCTGGCTCAGACCAATCAATGCTAATAGCTCTTTGAATAAGTCAGTCCCAATAGTTGAAGAACAAGCCCTGACTTTCCCCGCTTGTTTCTGCGGCTTTGCTTCAAAAGTAGCCTGTGCCAGCTATTCAGGGTCTTTCTGGCTTCTCAAATGCTGAAAGACCCTGTTGCAACAGAATTAATTAAACTCCTCATGCTTTTGCATCAACTGAGGTGTGAGAGTGTTTTCTTGCGGCGACTCCTCCTCAGTAATTGGACTCCAGGGTCCAACAATAGCTGATTCCAAGTTTTATTATCAATACTGAATAGAATTCATGCTCCTGGTCTCTTTGGTTGTTTATTGCTGCACTGAAAACCAGGTTAGCTGATTCGTGAGTTTGTCTATCTCCTGTCTACCTCACATCCCACTGTAGGAACACTTGGATTATAGATAACTTGTCATTGTGCTCAGTTTTATGTGTGTTCTGGGGCTCTGAATTTGTCATCACACTTGTACAGCAATTGCCTTACCCACTTAGCCTTCCAGTGTAATTTTCTTTCCATGAGCACATCCTGGCTTTGTAGCCAGAGACTGCTTTTTCATTTTCTGACTGCTCAGACCCAAATAATCATACAGAAACTATACTATTTGGCCAATAGCTTAGTCGTATTCCTTGTTAGTTCTTGCATCTTGAATTAACCCATTTTTCTTTATCTATGTATTGGCACAAGGCTGTGGTTTACTGGTAAGGATCTGGTGTCTGTCTCCTTCAGCAGTTACATGGTGACTCCCTGACTCTGCCTACTCTCTCTATCTCTGTTCTGATGTCCCACCTGGCTTTACTCTGCTAAGCATTTGATCCAAAAAGCTTTATTCATCATCCAATAAAAGCAACACATATACATCATGGCTATAAATGTCAAATGTGAGTAGTATCTGTGGCTAATTTGTATCATTATTTGCATTACCTCTGAATCATGGGTGGTTTTTGCAGTAACTAAGATTTGAGTATATGCTGTGCATAGGTGAGTACAGTTGGGTGTTACTATGTATGTGGCAAGAAATAGGACAGGATAACAACAGATCATGCTCATAGTCAATGGTATATTAGTAACAGTCACTTCGGAGGCCAAGAATGAAGGGTTATTCAGGTCAGATACTTGAAAGGAGCCTGAACAACACAGAAAGAACCTAACTCCAACAACTAAACCCAAATCAAAAGAAACCCCTGCTTCTTAAGTCCTATGGTAGATTTATTCCCATAAGGCTGTCTAGTTTGGTTGGCAGACTGGGTGTTAAAGGGAAGTCAGAGGGGACTGTAACTCTATATTCTTTAGATTTTGAATTTCCACATAGAACTTAAAATACCAACTACTGTACTGCAAATTCTTAAAGCCCTTATAACAGTTACACCATTATAAGAGCATATTTCTTAATCCAGCATTCTTAATAACATAATACATTAATAATATGATAATACATTTTGAACATTAAGTTTAGGCACATACCTGTGGTTCTGGCAGTAGATGATCCATTAATGTGGTTTATATCTAAACCAAATTATTGTCCAAATGAACAAGAAAATGAAGTAAATATGAACCTTCATGGCCAGGGTTTGGCCAAATGCTTCTTTGTCTGAGGTTACCACTGTATCTCCTCAGGCTGGTCTTGGGGTTTGTGACATCACCGACAGTTTTGCATCAGACACTGACAGCATAATCTCACTGTGGAAAAGCAGAAAACTCTATGCATAAATCTTTTCAAGTGACTTTTAAATGTTTATATCTTTATTTTACCTCCAGGAATGTGTGTCTGTGCACCTTATTTGTGTAGTACACATAAAGACAAGAAGAGGGTGTCAGATCGCCTGGAACTGGAGTGACATCAGATGTAGTGATATTTCATTTGTATTTTAATAAATAAAGCTTACCTGATCAGAGAGTGAAACAGCCACCCTGATCAGCCTTACAGACCAGGCACTGGTGACACACACCTTTAATCCCAGTAATCACACTAGTTAGCCCCATAGATGCTGAGCAGTGGTGGTGCACGTCTTTAATCCCAGCTCTAGAGAGGAATATAAAGAGACAGCTATCAGACACAGTCTCACTCTGAGATTCCTGGAGGCGGGATTGCCATATCAGACTGAGGTAGAGAGAAGAGGCAGTGACTGGTTGTTTTGCTTTTCTGACCTCCAGGGTGAACCCCAATATCTGTCTCTGGGTTTTTATTAACCATGCTACAATCTGATCCCCGGGAACTTGAGCAACAGTTATTAGCTGCCAGATTATTAACTGCAAATTGAATCCAGATCCCCTACAAAAGCAGCCAGTGCTTTTTATTTTTGAAGTCATCACTCCAGCCCCTCAGGTGACTCTTAATCATATTTTAATCAAATCTTCTGTCTAATTGAAAACAAGATTAAAGGATTTTTTTTCAAGACAGTGTTTTCCCTGTAGCCCTGGCTGTCCTGGGACTTTGAGATCTGCCTGCCTGGGCCTCCTGAGTGCTGGGATTAAAGGTGTACACCACCATCATCTATCAGATAGTGTTCTGGTTTGAATAAGAATGGCTACTAGGCTCACATAGTTAGTTGACTACTTGGGCCCCAGCTGGGGGAACTGTTTGGGAAGGATTGGGAGTTAGGCTTTGTTGGAGGAGTTGTGTCATGGGGTGGGCTTTGAGATTTCACTCATTTCCAGTGAATTAGCTTGCTTTCTCT